ACACATTGAAGAACATGATCTATCTCTGTGTATGATCTATAAACTTGCAATAAACAATTAGCCATGTAAACCTACAGATACTTTGTTTCAAATTGCAATGAGCGAAATTAAATTGTTTGTCTATGACCGATAGGTAGGTAGGTAGATAGATGGTAGGTAGACAGCGCTGCGGAATAATCAGGCACTATATATATATATATATATATATACCAATAATAAAAAAAATAATAATAATAGAATGGTAGGTAGATAGATAATCAGGCATGATGATAAATAGAAATGTATCTATTAATTATTGCATTATTAATAGCAGACATTTCTGTGACATTTACCTTTTTACCGCTCCTGGGTAAGTAACAGACTCAGTGTTGTGAGTTTAAACCCAAACCCCTTTCCCAATGTAAAAGACAAATCTAGAAGTTTAATTGTTAATGCAGAGGTATTTGACTCATCCTGCAAGGATATCCGGATATCCCATATATCTAAACACAGCCCAGTCCCTGTACATAGAAAAAAACTGTGCTCTACCTGTTCTTGCTGTGTGAAGCCCCTGCAGAAATATCAGTAAAAATGAGGTTTTCCAGCAATCCCATGATAAAATCCACCTTGCCATAGTGCAGAAATGAGGAATATATTTCTATATCCCCTCAGTGTATAGGACTATAATCCGGAGATGGCTGTTATGAATCCATGTGTGTTTGGAGAGAAGGGAGTGAGGAATTGTGCAGGGCTTTGGCTGAATCTCTTGCAGTGGGATCAATTTTCTCCCAGTAAGTGTTGTCTGGCTGTGTGTCCTCCTATTCTGTCTGTCCCTCCCTCCAACTCACACTCTCTCTCTTTCTTTTTTTTTTCATTCCCCTCCTCTATTTTTTTTCCTTTTCTCTATTCATCTGTTGCAGACTCCCCCCTAAGCCCTCCCTTCTCTTGTTTCACTGTCACCCCCTATTTACGTTATTCTCCCTCCGCTTTGCTAATCTGTTTGGGTACTCCTGTCTCTGTGTGTGTTCCTTCTCCTGCTTGTCTATGTCACCCTAACTTTTATTTCATCCTCCTTACACAATCACTGCTGTCATCACATCCTTATCTAGGCTCCATGCACTCCGCTGCACTCCATACCCTCCGAAACTCTGGAAAGGGAAGAACTTGTTCTGCACATATTCTACATGTGGACAAGATAACAAATCTCCTATTTCTGTGTCTCTGGAGTTTCATAATTTCATGTTCTCCTCTGCTATCTTCTGCATGTATTCATATACTTATATGTATTGCACCTGTGCTTCATTTTTCTATACTTGGCATCCAGGTAGTAAATTCCATATTTTTTCAGGAATACTATCTCGTGTCCTTCATCATGCATTTTCTTTTTCAAATCATTATTTTATCTTCTTTTGTTTTGTTCTTGTGTTTATTATAATCTTATTCTTTTACCTGCCCTGTGTACCCACTCATTTCTCTGAATTTTCTTAACTCTGCCTACTCCATCATCGTTTAATTTAATTACCATCAATTAATTATTCTTTTTTTTTTTTTTCCTCTGTCATTCTCATTCCCCAAATCCAGCCTTGGATCTTTTTTACCTCTTAATTTCTACAGTTTCAGTCTTTCACATAATTTCTCATTTCAGATTCTCTCTCTGACTCTCTCATCGTTCAGCTTGGTTTTTTTTTCCTTTACTTAATTTTAACTTTTTTTCATTTTCTAGGATCATTTTTACCAAATTGTTTTTCATGCATCTTTCTCTGCCTTATCCTAATCTTTAATTCATTTATACCTCTTGCCACATCTTTCAAAGCAAAATGTGAGCAATTTTTGGGGAAGGTACATAATATTAATAGGAATTCTATATATTTACATGGTGATTGCTCCTTATTTATCCTGTTAAACCTGAATGAATGGAGCACGTTTTCATAAATATCAACTTGATTTTGTATTCTTCATTTGGATTATTTCTTTTGTAATTATGTTTTGCTATCTTCAATTGGCTTTTATACAAATGAATATTCTGCGTCTGTCTGTGGGTGTACTATATGTCTTTGTGTCCTAATACTTTTGATGCACACAGTTTTCTGCAGTTTGCCTCTTATTTGTCTGCATGCAAGTTTCCAAAGCTCCTTTGACATTTTTCTGCAAACTGCTTTCATTTGCTCGCTTGTCACTTTCCTGCACACTGATTTATTCTGCACACCTGTCGATTTTCCACAAATTATGTTACAGGGCTCACCTGTCTTCCGTAACACAGCTTTCCATAGCATATTTACATAATCTTCTCTTTTTAATTTAATTGTCCTATTCTTGTGTGTGGTCAACCTTACAGGACTCACTGGAGTTTAGAATTATATAATTCCAGGACATGTATGCATTAATATCACGGTGATTTTTATTTTCCTATTTTCTTGAAGGCTCTCAATTTATCTTGTATGATTTGAAGTATTATTCTGCTCAGTAATACTTTTTCTTTTTTTTAATTAACTTGCCGTGGGAGTCTTTCACACGACACTAAGGTTTGAACAGGTATGATATTTGGTGCATTACACAGAGTTTTTTTTTTTTTTTTCTACATGAACTTACTTGTCCTCATTGACCTTGTTTGTGTCTGAAATTCCAGAATGTTGTACTTGTCCTTTCAAACATCTGTTCATTATATTGTAAGCAAACTCAACAAGGTGCATTCTAGAAAATATTGGGATATGGTTTTTTTTCCAGCATGTTAGATTAGAAATGAAATGGCTGCAACCCTCACTTCAAAACTGAATTTGCAGTTTCATTGGGACGCCTGGGAACATTATATAAAAGAGTTTCTCCTGTAGACTATTCCGCCCTGCCACATATTGATATACAATATATTTAGACATACAATTGGTTAAATTACTCTCTGTATTATATTTTGAAAGGAACAAATCCACTATTTTATTATTATACATTTGGATAGTACCCGTCCCCTCCCCTTTTTTTTATCATTATTTTTTTCACCTTCCCTTCTTATTTCTACCCATTTCAATTGTTAAATGTTGATTTCTTTATATAACAAATTGATGTGAAATATCTTTTTTTTTAAATACTGTTCAATAAAAATAGTTTGAAAAGAAATGAAATGGCAACTAAGAAGATAAAATACAGTCTGAACGATTTAATTTGAAGTTATTAATAGCTCTAACAAATTTACCTGGAGGAATTTAGTCCTTTGTATACAGATCACAAAACTGATTTTATTAGACGCGGAGGCTCCTATTATGCTTCTCTTTCTTTAATTTCCCTCAGCAGCGAAGAGAGATGTATACAAAAAAGAGAGAAAAAAACAACATAACATTTGCATATTCACAGTGCTACCAATGGTATCCACCCCCTTAGTATATAAGGTGTAGCACTCCATCCTTCTCCCTATTTCTTCGCTGCTCCCTCAGATCAGCTAAGTGCATTATTTTCCTACTTGCATTTGATATATTTATTGTGGGACTTTGTATGTTATCCCTATTCACCTAGGGTTTTTGTTGCTTGCTCCCACTGGTTTATTATTATATTACTTATATTTTATATACATATTATTTGATTACTTACTATTGTTTGCATTGATATTTCCCCCCCTGGACCCAGAGGGGTGCATAGTGTGTTCTGCTCAGCCTTACCTGGCAGGGCAGTTTGTTCCCCTCCCCCCCCCCGGGTGGGAATTCTTTCTGTTTCCCTGTATTTTACTCTTGTACTCTCACCCAGCCGGGAATCGACAGCGAGGGCATGTTCTCTCTACCTTGCTCTGTCCCTGGCTCTTTTTTAAAGCCCGCCAGCGGCCCTAATTGCAGCCGTGCGGTGGTTTACTTTCACTTTTCGCCGCTTGCGAGCGCCGCGCATGCGCAGTACACTCACAGCGGCCATCTTTTTGGTTTGCTGTTGCCGTCCTGTGCCAGTGGCCATTTTAGTATTGGCGTTTTCACGGTCAGCACAATGCTACTCCTCTGAAACACTCCAGACAAGGTAATCTGTCAATATTTTCTTATTAACCTTTCTGATTACCTCTACCCTGTGCTTGTGTAATCAATCCTGTACTTTTCACTTTATTTGTTTTTCTTACTTGCACTCACTACTGTGCCACCATGCAGTCTGCTAGTGATACCCTCCCTGGCCATCTTAGACCCTCAGTAGACACACCTGGCCCTGACCCTGGCCTCCTAGGCTCAGAAGATTTCCAGAGCCTGCTGGACGCCACTATGTCCAGCTCTATCACTAAGGCCATCTCATCAGCAATGGGGGCTATGTCCTCTACGATTTCATAATCCATTACTCAGGCTCTCAGACAAGCCCACCCTCACGCTGCCCCTGTTCAGTCACTTTCAACCCCTGAAGGGGCAACACCTAAGCAAGCGCAATCATTCTCAAGACCCCACCCCCCCGCACAGGTAAATCCTTGATGTCTTGATTGACATGCAGCAGGCTGTCTGTGATGGTGCGCAACAACCGTGCATTAGAGCTACTGGCCGGGCTACGGCAGCCAGAGAATGGAAATGGTCGCGAACCCAAGATATTCTGTCTGACCTGTAAGAATTGACGGGTCTTCCCTTTCAGGACTCCCCGCCATGTGTGCTCCACATGCCAAAGTCACACCACAAGCTCATCTCCGTGGAGATCATGGTCCTGCAGACCAAAAATGCTATAGAGGAAATCCCTCTAGATACACCAGGTTTTGTGAGCAACCTGTTCTTAGTGCAGAAAAAAGGCGGAGGTGTCCGTCCGGTTATCAACCTGCGACCCCTCAATGCCTTTGTCCAGTACCAGCATTTCAAGACGGAGGGCATACACTGCCTCCGAGACCTGCTCCTCCCGGGAGACTGGATGGTAAAACTCGATTTACAGGACGCGTATCTCACGATCCCGATAACGCCAGATCACAGGAATCTACTACAATTTCGGTGGGGCACAAAGAAATGGCGTTTCTCCTGCCTTACTTTCGGACTGTCCTCCGCTCCCTGGTGCTTCACAAAAGTGCTGAAGCCAGTGGTTGCCTTTCTCAGGTTACATGGAGTTCGTCTTATTATATATCTAGACGATATCCTCATACTCTCGGGGACATGATCCCTACTGCTAACCCACTTATCACGGACCCTTCACCTCCTCCAGAACCATGGTTTCCTGGTGAACTGGGAGAAATTGGTGCTACAACCCTCTCAACAGATGGAATTCCTGGGATTCCGAGTCGACTCCGTCCGACAAATTCTATGCCTCCCAGCAGAAAAGATGTCCAACATCAAAAAGGAAATAATGAACCACCCAGACATTTCTCTGAGACAATTGGCACGAGTGATCGGATTACTGGCGGCCTCCATCCAAGCGATCTTCCCGGGACCATTACACTATCGGGCGCTACAACGACTGAAAGCATCCTGCCTAAGGAACGGACAGTCATACGAGACCAACGTCACTTTGGACGAGGAGTCCAGGGAAGAGCTGAACTGGTAGTTAACCCACATGGAAGCGTGGAATGGACAAGCAATCTTTGGTTCCACCCCGGATCTCGTGATAGAGTCGAACGCAATCTTACATGCCTGGGGAGCGCGTTGCAGGTCCATATCCACAGCAGGCAGATGGTCAGTAGTCGAATCGTTCCTACATATAAACTCACTGGAACTGCTGGCAGCCTGGTTTGCCACCCGCAGCCTCCTCAAGTTGGACATCGTCTTGGCAGTCAGGTACATAAACCATCTGGGAGGTACCAAGTCACGCATCTTAGCAGTCTTGGCTCGAGACGTCTGGCATTATTGTTTGCAGAATAATGTGTCGGTAACCGCGGAACACATACCGGGGTTGGACAATTACACCGTGGACCGATACCTGAGGGACTTAGGTGATTGGAGACTTCAACCGAAGGTATTCTACAAGATCGCTCAGTCATGGGGACCTTTCAGTGTGGATCTCTTTGCGTCCAGACTGAACACACAACTTCCTCAGTTTTTCAGCTGGTGACCAGACCCAGAAGCCATGGCAACAGATGCCTTCCTCCAGGACTGGACCAAGGAATGAGCATATGCCTTTCCTCTACTAAACCTGATTGCCCAGACTCTGGTGTACACCCGACGCTACAAGAGTACATTGGTCCTGATAACACCATGCTGGAGATCTCAACTTTGGTTCCCCCACCTACTGGAAATGGCGATCGATTGCCCACCGTTGCTTCCGGATCAACCCTCCCTGCCAACCAATCCGGATGGGGAGAATCACAACCTGATATAACAAGGAATCCTCAAGCTCGTAGCATGGTTCCTTTCTGGGATCCTGGTAAATCACAGAGGTTTCAAGAACAACTACCCAACTCCTGGCAAACGCTTGGGCACCGGGAACACGGCATTCATATGCTGTGGCATGGAGGACTTGGTCCAATTGGTGCCTGGAGAGATCGGTGGATCCCGTATCAACCTCTGTAAAAACGGTACTAGACTTCCTGACGCACCTATTCGAATCAGGCAAGGCTTTCCGTACCATCAACATGTACCGATCAGCCACCTCGGCAGGTCATGATATCGTAGACGGACTTTCACTCGGACAGAACCCCTTGGTCTGTTGCCTGCTCAAGGGTGTTCGTTTCTCAGGCCCACCTAAACCTAGATATGGATCCTTTTGGGTCGTCAACGTAGTGTTCAAGCTCCTAGACGAATGGTCCTCTAACACGAAACTGTCATTAAAACAATTGTCGGCTAAATTACTTACGCTATTCTGCCTACTATCCTGTATGCGAGTGTCCGACGTGAGGGCTTTGGACTGGCAGACCCGTGTGTTCACTCCGGAAGGAGTGTCATTTGATATCTCGCGGAGAACGAAATCAGCAACTAAACAGGTCTTCTACCCAAGAATTCCAAATCAACCCAATCTATGCCCGATGCTGTGCTTAAAAGAATATGAATCTCGCACTTCTACTCTATGCTCGTCGAATGACGGACATTTGTTCATTTCACTGAAGAAACCGCATCCCTGTAACTACACCTGCTCTCGCTCGTTGGGTCAAGTGGTTATTAGCTTCAGCCGGGATAGATGTCACAGTCTTCTCATCCCACTCTGTCAGGGGCGCTATGGCCTCTAAGGCATCGGCAATAGGATGTCGGTTGGAAGACACCTTGAAGGCTGCAGATTGGTCTACAGAATCCACATTCCGGAATTTTTATTTTAAACCTATCCAGCATTTCTCAGAAAGGGTTATAGCTCAGATTTAAAAGAGCATAATAGGAGCCTCCGTGTCTTTAATAAAATTCCAAGATTTTGCTATTAACATGACTTAAAGTCATGATTTTATTAATGACACGGAGGCGAGTATTATTCTCTCCCACCCTACCTGGGTGGAACTATTGCGATTCACATGACGGAGTCGTAGACTAGTGTGTCGATATACTCAGGTTTCTCATACTTGACCCCTTTTTTCACTCAGGTAAGTGGCCATAAGGTTTGTTTATCATGTTGGATATAGTTTTGTGTAATGCATATCATGTATGATGACGTCATGACTATGGAGATTATCTCAAGGTCAAGATAACTGCCGATGTTGAAGTATATGTTACAACCACGTGACAACCAAGATATTCCTCTCATTTTAGCCTGAATACTCCTATTGAAGTGTCGAAGTTTGGAAGACAGTTCTACAGTTTGCCCATAAAGAATGGGTGTATGGATACCCGAGGTTCCAGTTCCGGTTCAGGTTTATTGTTTTGGTTATTAGCTGGTCTTCAGATCGCTACAGAAAGAGAAGGATGGAGTGCTACACCTTATATACTAAGGGGGTGCAAATGTTATGTTGTTTTTCTCTCTTTTTTTGTATACATCTCTCTTCGCTGCTGAGGGAAATTAAAGAAAGAGAAGCATAATACTCGCCTCCGTGTCATTAATAAAATCATGACTTTACGTCATGTTAATAGTAAAATCTTGGAATTATACAGTTAGTTGTTCTTTAGCCTGGACTCTATTGCACCAGCAATTAGATCATGTACAAGAGAGCAACAATAGGTCTACATGTGATAGATGTTGCATCTGAATTTGCAGTTTGACTAGGTGCAAAATAATATAAGCTAGTGCCAATTAAACAGATAATAAGAAGGTAGTAAAAACGGGCAACAAATTATTAGGGACATAGTCCTGATGTTAGGTGTTTGAGAATCAGCCATGTGTTACATTCTTCAGAAGCAACAATCAACTGGTAAACTAACCCATAGAAATCAGAAAACCAGAATACAGGGTAACCAAACTATAGTCACATTTGTGAAGAAATAACATGTTCTGCTGTCAGACAAATTGAGGATGGTCTCCAGAATAGAGAATAGTCTAATTCGTGACAAACAGTGCTATGAAGAATAGACTATGCCAACGTGAAAACCTCAGATAAGCCCAAAGAACAGGATAGCCATGATACAGTTTGCTACAAAAGTACATTAAAGACTTGTTCTGGGACAAGATTTTATGGAAGGGAGTGAGTAACCTGTATTAAAATGACAAAAAAATAGCTGCACATGCTCCGATGGATAACATGTACATGGAGGAGGTAATGTTTGGCTTGGACACGTATGGCTGCTGCTGAATCTTGCATGATTGTTTTCATTGATGGTCTGACTATTAATGACAGCAGCTGGATTAAGTCTGAAGTGCTTCAGAAACATCTAACAGCTCAGATTCCAACCACAGACCTCAAAACTCATTGGAAGGTCCTGGGACAATGACATCAACAATACTGCTAATGCAAACAAGGGAAGACTTTTTTCGGCCAAAAACAAGATATATTCCTGCCCGACAAGTCGCATTACATAATACAAATAAGAAGCAGACACTTATCCTATTTATTGTAGCAGAGAGGTGCAAAAAGCACCAAACCAGTAAGAATTGCCCAAGAGAAATAAAATGGTCCAGTTTTAGCAATAAATTCTTTACATGTGTGCTTTATTTTTGACATTTTGGCATTAACAAGGACTGTGTCAAGAAAGCTAGTGAATAAATAATATTTTTTCATTCACTGCAGAAGAACTAGACAATTTTCTTCTTGTGAAGTCAATCTTCCAGACCTGAATCCAATTGGTTTTGTGTTTCACATTCTGAAGGCAAGACTGAAGGAGATAATGGCTTAAAACAAACAGAAAAAAAGATGGCTGCATTACAGGACTGACAGAGCATCACAAGGTTTTTGTCAACTGTACATGGTTTGCAATCAAGTATTTAACATGGGGGCATGCGCCAGCATATCAATTTAAGATTGCTGTGGGAGACCGGACTAGAGTGCCATGATAACTATAAGTATTCCCCTGTCAAGGTGTGAGTGGCTAATTGAGGGGATCCTAAGTTGAAATTCCTTGCAGAGTGACCTATTAACGGTTTAGTGTACCTGTTCTTGTTCTTTGTGTCATATATGTAGCTTTCAAGAAGTTACTTGTTTTGTATTTTTTTTTATACAAAATTTTAAAACATAACTATAATTCCTAACGTAAGAAGAGTCATGTGTCATCTGTACTTGTTTTCCAAAACATTTGTTTTTACTCCATGTATACACAGCTTCTTCTCAAGTCTAGTGGGTGTCTTCCCATCTCCAGTGCTTTGCAAACATCACTTGTCTGTTCTTTATAAATTTCAATTGTTCCAGCCATCAACATGTAAGCAATGGAATGTCCTCCTAACTTTGCGATGGAAGATAACACTTTATTTTCTTTACAAACATTTTTCTACATCTATTGGGTTTTAATGATTTCTCAAACCACATTTTTTGAACCACCACCAAGCCATCTGCAGTTACAATGCAGTGTTTTGGGAACATGTTGTAAAAAGCCTCTGGGGTGTAGTGGTCAATTCCATAAAAACTGCAGCTGGTATTAGATTGCAACTCCCATCACCATGAGTCAGGTCCTCCGACTTAGTATTCCCATTTGGCTAAGCCTTGATTCCGCTCCCATTGCTGGAATACATTTTCCATTCTACATTAAAGTAATAGGATTTGTCATCTGGTAAGAGTTTGAGGACTTCACACTGCCCAGACCCTTATTTAAACCTGCCAGGTTTTACTGGCTGACAGTAAAATAAGCATGGCGTAATGACTTAGCTCTGTCTGTAGGAGAAATATTAGCCAGGATGGGTTTTAACATAAAGCAAACTATAAACAAGGTGCTAATTTTAGAAGCATGCAGCCTTTCAGGTGTACATTCTTAGTAACTTAAATGTTTGGAAAACAGATGTGTCTGCCTCAGTTCTAAAAGCTCCTAAGCATAATAAATGTGAGCTTGATCATATCTTCAAGTGTGATATTCTAGAACTGCTAGTTACCAGTTCAGATTTCTTTATAATATTCCTG